CTCGAGGGTCAACTGTAGTTACTTGTTCAAGCCTTTGTTTTTCTTCCTGAATTGTGGGCTTTTTCTAAGAGTAGGAAAATTTATTTCTCTGTGTCCACAGTATTTTGCAGAGTGGTCAGTAAGTGAGTGAGTATTGGGATATGGGGTCTACTTCTCATGTCTTGGGGCCTCTGCAGAGCTCCAGGTCCCAGAAGCAGGCCTCATATATGTATCCTGACTTGTTTGTTTCACTTAGTTTCTTTCTTTTTCCCCTCCTTTTTAATTTTTTAAAATGTTTATTTATTTTTGAGAGAGAGAGAAACAGAGCACAAGCAGGGGAGGGGCAAAGAGAGAAGGAGACCTAGAATCTGGAGCAGGCTCCAGGCTCTTGAGTTGTCAGCACAGAGCCCGATGCGGGGCCCAAACCCATGAACCATGGGTCCATGAACCCATGAGATCATGACCTGAGCCGAAGTCAGATGCTTAACCGACTGAGCTTCCCAGATGCCCCTTTCACTTGATTTCTTTAAGAGGGGTTCCAAATGTAGCTAAGAATCAGAAGCTGTTTGACAGACCTTTTCCTTGCTCCTTCTCAGGCCCGGATGGAAGTAGACGCAGATGGAAATGGTGCTAAGATATTTGCATATGCCTTTGACAAAAACCGGGGAAGAGGGTCAGGAAGGCTCCTTCACGAGCTGCTGTGGTAGGTGTTTTCAAGCTGCTTATTTCCTATTTGGGTACCACGTGAGCCCTGATGTGCATATGGGGCCTGTGGCGACACCTGCCCTCATTGACAGAAGGCGCTTTCCCTGAGTCGTGCCCCCCTACCCAGCCTTCTTAGTTACCATTGGGTCATTGCCACTAACCCGGAGGAATGGCTCATTCGCATATTGTACCACTAATGGGGCAGCCTAAAAGTATAGTTTTTGCTCAGATACTTGCTCCAGACACAGTCTCTTCTGGAGCAGGGTGGGATCTGCTCCCTCCAGTGGGCTCTTGCTGAGCCTGTCGGGATGTGAGGAAAGGACTGCCTCTCCTCGGTGTGGCTGCTGGAGTTCCAGAATGCTTGGGACAGCTCTGATGGGGCATTCTCCAGGTTGGGGGTTCCATCCTTGGCTTCTGACAGCCTTGCTCTTAAATCAAGGGGCTGGACCGTCATCGTGGTCTATCTTGTTTGGCCACGGACTGACATCCTTGGATTCCTCTCGGCATCCTTGCTCCTCATTGTCCCCATCAGTGTGATGAGGGGCCGGTTCAGATCACATGGCGGAAGTCTTTGGGAAGGCCAGAGGAAGCCGATTGAGAGGTCTTGTTTTCTAGGGAGCGGCACAGGGGAGGCATTGCTCCTGGGTTTCAGGTGGTACATCTCAATGCTGTGACAGTAGACAATCGCCTGGACAACCTGCAGCTGGTGCCATGGGGCTGGCGGCCGAAAGCGGAGGAGACGTCCAGCAAACAAAGGTGGGGCTTCTCAGGGCGGGGGGAGTCGGCAGAGGTGCCTCGAGGAAGGTCCTCCTCCAGGCTCTTGTTACTACGGGGCTCCCATCTCCACTCTGATCTCATGCTTCTTTGGGAGTGGAGACCTTGGCTATTTTCCCTCAGAGTTTTCTCTCCTTGTTTTCTTCGTGGGGATGGGATACCTTTTTGATAATTATCTTTTTGATGTTTGTTTGTTTTTTTTAATGATTGTTTTTAAGAGAGAGAGAGAGACAGACATAGCACAAGCAGGGTAAGGGGCAGAGAAAGAGGTAGACACGGAATCCTTTGAGGTGTCAGCAAAGAGCCTGATGCGGGGCTTGAACTCACAAACCATGAGGTCATGACCTGAGCCTAAGTTGGACGCTCAACCAGCTGAGCCACCCAGGCGCCCCCTTGGTTGGTTTTCTAACGATTGGCTCTAGCGGGGAGAAGAGCTGCCGGGGCTGGATGCCTACACATGGGCAGGATTTCTGCTCTGTGTCTCTGAGAAAAGTTAGACATCGTCATCTTAGGGATGCCTCCTGTACACACACGTGCATCCTTCTGTCATGCTTTTTGGCTAAACACCCAGGCAGTGGTTTAAAAGAAGCAAGACCGTGTGGTTTGGGGACTCTGCTGCTCAGCTTCTGCCTCTGCCTGGTCCTGAAAACAGTGCTTCTGCTCAGGCTACTGCAGGCGTCCCCCGTGGGCGAGTGGGATGCTCTGAGCCAGTTCCCATGGCCCCAGGAGCAGCCTGGGTGAGAGCTTCATGGAGGCCTTGGCAAGAGCTGGGGAACCAGCAGAATGGAAGGTGGGAGCTGAAGTAAGCCAGGCTGTTCCTGGCCACGTGTGCATCATCTGTGGTCTCACAGGGGCTCTTTGGGGCTCGGGCATGTCCCTGGGCCTCTGGGAAGGCTCTTTCATCAAACAAAATGAATGTGAGGTTATCTGCAGAAGGAGCAGCTCTGCAGGCATATCAGTGTCCACGGTAACCCCCTGGCTTGTCCAACGTGGACGCTTGTTCAGTGTGGACACTGGGACCGGCCCCGCCTCCCCCCAGCACCAGACCGGTTTCCTTCTGCTCCCCGGAGGCGTGGAGGGAGCTGCCCACCCCTTCAGCCGCAGCGGATCTGCTCCTGCCAGGAACTCGGCTCTGAATTGTGACTTTAGGCCTCTGTGTGACTCATGGTTTGGCCAAGCTGTGGATGAACCTTGTCACGTTTCTTCACCTGAACACTCTTTATGGTCACAAGATAAGATAACCACAACTGAGAATACCTGATTGGAAAAGGATCCACTCCATCACAAGCTACCCTGTCTGGTGGTCTCTGCTGGGTCGCGGCCTGGCTGTCCCCTTCTCTAGGCCATTCCCGGGAGGCCCAGGACAGGCTGTGCTCCTGAGACTCTGTCCTTTGTGTCATCCTAGGAACCAATCCAGTGGGGCCATCCTTAGTCTGTCGGCTAGGGGTTCAGACCCTCACTCCACTTGGCGGTGAGGCAGAGCCAGCCTGAGTGCGGCCCAAACTGCCAGCTGGCCTGGGCTCCACACAGCGGGTTCCCGTGGTGGGACTCCCCTGTCTGTGAGGCAGGGAACGTGGTGCTGTGGCTTCTCCTGGGCCTGCACCTCCCGCCCTGCTTCCCTTTGGCGGGAGGGGCACAAAGGCAGCTCATCCATGGTGGGGGCAGGCCTCTTTGTCAAGATGTGTTTTCCTCCCTTTCTGCTTTGAAGAGCCAGCTGGAGTTGAAACTTGCCTCTGTCGTGTAAGACTTCATTGAAGGGCTCCGAGGGCACCCTGTACCCTCCTACATCCTGACTCTTCCCCCCTTTTTTTCCTTTTAAAAAACCTTTCTTATTGTGGCAAAATACATACAATGGTTATTACTCTTAGCCATTTTTGGACGTTCATTTCAGTGGCATCCAGTGCAGCCGCATAGTTGTGCAACCGTCCCCACCATCCATCTCCAGAACTTCCCCATTAGACACTGAACCCCCATTGCCCCTCCAGCCCCTGTCTTCCTACTCCATCTTTGGATCTGAATCCTCCAGGATTTGTCTTTATGTGATGGGCTTAGCACTGTGTCCTCAAGGTTCATCCATGATGTAGCTTGTGTAGGGATGGATGTGCATCCTTTTGAAGTTTGGATGATATTCCGTTATATTTATGTACCACGTCGTTCCCACTCATGGGTTGATGGAGCCTTTAGTTGTTTAGGTTAGGTTTGTTTATGTTTAGATCTTTTTGACCCATTTTGAGTTCATTTTTGTATATGGTATTAGATGAAGGTGACCCTATCCCTTCGTAGCCCTGACCCCCACGGAGGGTGGTAGGTTGGAGGGGGTGCTAACCTGCTACTTTGCTCTCGAAGCACAGGCGGTGGCTTCTTTGCAGCCTGGCAGCAGAGGGAGCTGCCAAGCTCCTTCACCTGCCCTGCCTAGCCTGCTCTCCCCTGGGGTCTGTTAGGGTGCCTCCGTTCTAGCAGCAGACGGGATCCTTCGGTCGCAAGCTTCTGGTCCACTCAAGAAGATAAGTGTGTAGAAAGATGTAGAGCAGCTCACAGCATCAAATGGGAGGTTGAGCGGCTGGGGCAGAAGCAGGTGCCTCTGGGACCTTGAGCAGGGGAAGGGCTGCCGGGCTTTGCTCACGTGCCCAGGCCTGGCCAGGCCCCCGTCCCGAGACCGCACGCTCTCTGTGCCTGCTGCGTGCCTGTCAGTCCCAGATTTGGGGAGATCAGTGAGGGAGGGAGACATAGTCCTTCTTAAACGTGCTGCCTACTTGATGTCGCATACAGGTAAGCCCTGCTCCATAGTAGGGGTGGCCCGAAGAAGAGTCAAGTTGTCCTAAGAAAAACTGGGGTAGGGATACCCTGAGCACTAGGAACCAGCAGTCTGTCTTGCAGTCAGCTCATTGTCATGTCCCTGTCTTGACTGTGTCTGGCTGGAGTATACTGAAGCATCTGCTTCTCCTTTTAAGGGAGCAAAGCTTATACTGGTTGGCGATTCAGCAGCTTCCCACGGACCCCATAGAAGAGCAGTTCCCTGTCCTGAACGTGACGCGGTACTATAACGCCAACGGGGACGTGGTGGAAGAGGAGGAGAATTCCTGCACCTACTATGAGTGCCATTACCCTCCCTGCACGATGATCGAGAAGCAGGTACAGGTGCTGCAGTGAGTGCCGGCTCCGGCCCCTGCGGGCCTCTCATGCGCCCTCTCCACCGCGGCCACTCTGCCCTCCGGCTTCAGTGTGTGGGCTTGCCGGGGTCTTCTGATTGCAACGTAGTGTCTGCCCCCCAACCAATTCCCGGGTGTGACCGTGAAGCCACGGTTGTCTGTGTGTTCTTTCAGCTCCGGGAGTTCAACATTTGCGGGCGTTGCCAGGTGGCCCGGTACTGCGGCTCCCAGTGCCAGCAGAAGGACTGGCCCGCCCACAAGAAGCACTGTCGGGAGAAGAAGCGCCCCTTCCAGCACGAGCTTGAGCCAGAGCGATGACCTGGCTTCCGGACCTTCCTTGGGCGCAGCAGACACAGACTGGTGGTTGACCCGGAGGTGCTGAAGAAGCCAGCGATGCGCACCCACGGCAACTGCCGCAGAGGCCCCCTCGCCATGGGCACCTCGTGTGGGCACGGCACTCCCCTCAGTGTTCATCTCCAGGCAGAGACAGCTGGGGAGCCTCCCACCAGGACGCTTCTCATTATTTATATGTTAATATGTTTGTAAACTCATGTACAGTTTTTTTGGGGGGAGGCAGTGGGCGGGTTAGAAATTACAAATAGAATCATTTGCTGTAATTCTTAACTGGCAAACAGTTGGGCCACACATTTAAAAAGTCTAAACAGTGTGTCACATAGTGGGAGCTCCTCCCGGACAGCTGCCGTCCCGAGGAGCACGGCCTGCATGGGGTCGCATCCACAAGGCACAGTAAAGGGGTGGAATCATCGAGTGCCTCTGCCGTGCTCTGCTCTACTTTTTGCCCTTCCTGCTGCTGAGGTTTATTTCTAAGAGAATCAGGGTGCTATGGGGGTGAGGGGTGGAGGTTGCCTTTACCTTTATTCCTGCGCGGGGGGGGGGGGGAGGCAGGTAGGGAGCGTGAGTGAGACCCAGGCCTGTTCTTGTCCCGGGGCAGGAGTTGCTGGGGGTGGTGGAGTAGGCAGGCATGGAATGTCCTTTGCCCTGGCACAAGTAAGTTCTCTTAATTTACGTGCTGGGTGGTGGGGAGTTGAGCTCTGCAGGTCCTGCCTATGAATTGGGGCAGCCAGGGTGGGTGAGGGTTGCTTTCCTGTCCACTCGGCTGGGCTGCCTCTCTCATTAGGGAGCCACAGATGTCTGAAGGCTGGCCAGCGTCTTGTACACCTCGTAGAGGCCCTTGCGGCACCGAGCCGGGCTTTGTGTCTGGGACCTTGCTGGTCCTCAGATCCAGCCAGCCTGCCTCCTAGAGGCTTTGCTTCCTGGGAGGATGAGGCTGCCCATCCCAACTCTGAGTATCTGTCCTGGGCTGCCCCTTGCCCCACATTGGTCCCAACGGCTCCTACGTTCCCTTGTGCAGCTCTTCTGCCATCTCCCAGTGTGTTCCATCCGCCCCGTGTGTCTTCATTGCTTTCCTTAGCTGAGGATAGCCTCTTGGTGGTCTTGGTTTGTGAGTTGAGCTGCTGGTAGGTTCTTTTGCAGTCCTTGGAGTCCTCTTGGGCAGTAGGTCTTAGCAGGACTGAGCAGTCAGGTGAAGGCAGAAAGCAGGGAGCAGGAGGGCTCCCCACCAGGGGAGGGTCTCTGAAGGCTAGAGAATCCCGCATGCCCCACGTACGTTTTCACTGAGTAGCTCCCCTTGGACAGTCTGGGTGAGGTGCAGCATATCTTCTACATCAGGGACATCTTTGCTGCATAGGTGAAGTCTGCTCTAGGTCCCTCCAGACCCTAGGTGGAGCAGCAGTAGGGACTCAGAAACCTATTGGGGAGGAGGGTATGTATTATCCTGAGAGATCATCAGTCCTACAACAGCACTTGGCTTGAGCCCTTGGGGTGTTCCCAGGGCTGGTATAATTCCTGCTTCCGGAGGCCACCTCTGGTCGGGACTGTTTGGGTATGGGAGAACCCAGGATTGTCGGCATGTTGGGGTTTGGGTGGTCTCCCAGGCGTAAGGCCTTGAGTGTGCTCAGGCAGTGTACTTTCAGACCAAAGGTCTCCTGGGAAGAAGAGGCACCAGATCACGGGCTACGGTTTTTGCCTGTGTCCTTTGTGGCCGGCCACTTCAGCCTGTCTGCATTCCGTAACCAGCACACATTACCCTGCAGTCATCTACTTGCCAGAAAATTACATTGAAAGGGAAGCACCAGGGTCTCAGCAGGCCTGCAGGACACCACACTGGGTCCTGACACATGACTGATGTGTTCCACGTCACAGGGCTCATCAGGAATAGTATTGGTCTGGGGATCACTGCGCCACGAAGCTGTTTTGAGCAGGTGCTGCTGGTAGCAGATCCCTGTCCAATAGGGCTGCATCCCTGTGCCGTGTAATCTCTACACCCAGTGTGGGACTCAAATTCGTGACCCCGAGGTCTAGCGTTGCATATTTTACCAATTGGACCAGACATGTGCCCCTTGACCATTCCTTGTAGCAGATACAAATGTGTGGTTCAGCCATATCGAAAAGTCCTATTGCTTCTGGACCAACCTTTTCTGCTTCTCTGCTTGAGCTGCTGCCTCACAGCTGTGTATGTAACCATCGCCCTACTTGGACACAGGCTGGGTTACCCAGGTATCTATGTGGATTTCAATGTCAGCGTGCCCAGCTACCTGGAGCCATCATAAGTTAGCACTCAGCAGATGGCTTCAGACAACAGTGTATCATCCCTGTGGTGGAGGTCAGAAGTCCCAGATCAGTGTTTTGGCAGGATCATGCATGCTCCCTCTGAAGACACATGGGAAGGTGTGCCTGTTCCAGGCCTCTGCTAGCTTCTGGAGCTTGGAAGGTGGCAGTATGGGTTCTAGGGGCAGCCCTTGCCGTGTGGATGCATCATACCAATCCTCTGGTTTTACGTTTTCTCTGTAGGTCTCTGTCCTTGAGAGACCAAATCACCCTTTCATAAAGATAGCAGTCATATTGGACCAGGGCCCAGTGTAATGACCTCATTTTAACGGGATTACCTCTTTAATGGCCCTGTTTCTAAAGGTCATGTCCTGTGGTGCTGTGGGATAGGACTTCAACATACTTTTCTGGGGAGACCATTCAATCCATCCTTAACAGTGTCTAAAGCATGCTTTCCCCAAACCTATTCTGTAGAATATGTTAATTTTCTTGAATGGCAGCTGCGCCTACTCAGTCTCCCCAACGAGATCGTGACTGTGCTGGGTGTCCTCCCTTACATTCTGAGTCCGAGTGGCCCGCAGAGCCCTGACGCTGTCTACCGTCCTGCCCACCACCTCAGTGCGCCCTGTCTCCTCCACTGTCCTGGTAGGTGGGACTTGGCGTCCACGGGTGGGCCGCACTTCATGCCCCGCCGGCAGCCCTCTACAATGGACATGAGGGGCAGAGGGCAGCCTCAGGACTGACCCTGGATTGGGCTCCCTGAATGTCTAGGTCCTTAGGTCACCCCCCGCTTCCATGCCGTTTTTCTCTTCCTCTGCGACCCCCTCCCCGGCTCCCCTTCAGGGCCCAGATCTCCTGCGACTCAGGGGGACACCACTGTCCCTCCAGATGCCCACGTCTTCTGCCAGGGCAAGATGCGCGCCCTGGCGCGTGGGGCCGCGGAAGTCCGTCGGCCGGCAGGGGGCGCCGGAGCCCAGCCTCGCGCGCGGCGGCATCGACGGCCGGAAGTCCCGCCCCGACGCCCCGGGAAAGGGAAGGATGCGACTGCGGAAGTAGAAAAAGGACCGGCCCCGCGAGCATCTCTTCGCCGACGCCGTCTTCGGTCCTGGCCCCTACCTCGCGCTCAGCGTCGACCTCGGGCCCGATCCCGCTCTCATCCTGGCCTCGTCGCCCGGCCCTCGCTGCCCGGTCCCCGCAGCCTCGGACGCTACTGCGTCCTTGTCTGACTTCGGGGCGTCCAGAGGTCGCGTGCAGCTGTTGCGCGTGGTGGACACGGAACACACCGCGGACTCGGTGGAGTGGTGCCCGTTGGAGGGCCGCCGGCACTTGCTGGTCTGCGGCACCTACCAGCTGCGGAAGCCGCAGGGCCCGCCCGCGGCCCCTAAGAGCAAGGTGCGCGGCGCCTTCCCGGCCGCCGGCGGTCTTGGCCGCGGCCTCTAGGTCCGCGCTCCCCGGATGCCGTTTCTCAAGCAGCTAAGGCCCCAGAGTCAAACTCTTAGGAGAGGTCGCAGGAAGGAAGACACGGTGCTTCAGAGAGGCAGAGCCGACTGCGGAGGTTGGGACGTGTCTGGCCTGCTGTGGGGGGAGGCGGGGCCGGAAAAGTCTGTGCAGTCACACGGGAGATGAAGCTGTGACGTTGGCTTTGTGGCCAGAAGGTAGGTTAGAATGGGCATCTTGAGAGTGCAGTGTCCCTTATATGCAGACGTGGCTCAAGCTTAACGAATGAAGCCTAGAATAGAAGAGAAGAACGGGAATTGGGAGGAGCTGTACCTAATCTCTTGAAGGCATCTATTCAGATGCAACCAGGACACTATTAAGCATGAGACCTGGCACTCCAGCAACAGGCCTAGGTCAGGACGCTTACCGGCAGACTGGGCCCTGTGGTGACCCTAACCATAGCTGGTCCCTGTCAGCCCACGTAGAAGGACCATTCTAGGGGCTGCTGGCTGGCTCAGTCCGAAGAGCATGCGATGCTTGATCTTGAAGTCATGAGTTTAACTGAGCCCCACATCCGTGTAGAGATTGCTTAAGTAAATACAACTTAAAAGATTCTGTGCCGAGTCCAGCAGTTTATCTACTTACCCATTAATCACATACAAAAGATGAGACATTTGTCCAGCTCAGAAAATCAGGTGCTTCGAGGCAGAGTTCCAGAGCCTCGGCAAGGCTTTTCTTTCCCTTGATTCCTTTTTCCACCAACTTGGGTTCCTCGGTATCTATTAGGGTAATCAGAGAACACATCTGCATTTTTTTGTAGAGTGGACTCGACGCCGACGAGCCTCAAATCCGTTTAGGTCGTCTCTACTTGTATAGTTTCAATGCGGACAGCTCTGCTTGCCCCGTGCTTGAGATCCAAAGAAGAGATGCTTCTGCAATCTTGGACATGAAATGGTATAACTGATAACGATTCCTCCTGTCTGGGATTTGTCACAAGTATTTGTTCATTTAATCGGGAGCCTGATGCATGTCAGCATTCAATGAGATGGGGAAATGTCTGAACTTTGGGTTCATTTCTTTACTGTCCTGCCCACCTCTTGGCGTTTGGACGCTACTGGAGACTTGGGCTCCTCTCATTTCTGAGTCCTAGGGTTGGTATCAGCCTGGGAAGTGATGATAGTTCTCTGATTTATAAGCTGGGGAATCTGGAACGGGACTGCAGGCTACAGCCTAACTTTGGAAGTGAAATTTACCGTTACTGAGGTGCATAACGTTCGCCTGTGCTCTGGTATCCCTTGTTCTGACTGGCATGTGAATTCTCTCCTCAGGTGCCATGTCCCGGTGGCCGGCCATGCCCTCTTGGGTGTGGCAGATGCTGGTGGGTCCATAGAACTGCTCCGCTTGGTGGAATCTGAGGTCAGTGACTAGGGCCAGGAGTTGTGGGGGTGGAAAGAGTCTGAATAGGAAGAGTTTGGGCAGGAGGCTGTGCTGATATAAACCTTTTTGTAGGATGGTTTCTGTTCAATGGCAAATCGTATCGTAAAACATTCTATTTTTTTAAATGTTGATTTATTTGTTTTGAGAGAGCGTGAGGGAATATGAGTGGGGGAGGAGGAGGCAGAGGGAGAGGGGGAGAGAGAATCCCAAGCAGGCTCCATGATGTCAGTGTGGATTCCGACGCGGGGCTCGATCCCACAAACTGCAAGATCATGACCTGAGCTGAAATCAGGAGTCAGAAACTTAACTGACTCAGTGACCCAGGCACCCCTGTCATGAAGCATTCTAAATTAGCATGCAGTCTCTCTCTCTCTCTCTCTCTCTTTTTTTAATGTTTATTTATTTTTGAGAGTGAGAGCAAGACTGCGTGTGAGCAGGGGAGGGGCAGAGAGAGGGAGACACAGAATCCGAAGCAGGCTCCAGGCTCTGAGCTGTCAGCACAGAGCCCGACGCGGGGCTCAAACCCATAAACCGTGAGATCATGACCTGAGCGGAAGTCGGACACTTAACCAACGGAGCCACCCAGGTGCCCCAACATGCAGTCTCTTAAATTATTGGGTTCTGCATTTAAATCTGAGGAGAGATCAACGTATGTGTCACCAGCAGAAGGCTGAAGTGACAGGGTATTTATTCGCCTGTCAGTGGATCTGAAAGTTCCTCTGTAAGGAAAGCTGGACCAGCATTCTTAGGTTGATGATGCTGGGGCCAAGAATAGCGATGAATTTCCTGTGTGAAAGTGGTGTTTCTCAGCCACACTTAGGAAGGCATATGCTTCCTACGTGGCTTTCTCAGAGCATTTGGTGTTGATGAGCACCACGCATTTGCAAAATGACTGCATCTACTTGTTGGAAGAGGGAGAGAATGGGGAAGTCCTGCAGTTGAGGGAAGTAAACAGCCCACAAGGCCAAGCCCGGACTCAGAGAGAGGGACACACACTGGGACAGGGGTGCAGGTGGGACTGGAGCACGTCCACTTGCTATTGGCTTAATGGCAGCTGAGGGCGTGTGTATAATGGGCCTCACAGGCCAGCTGAGAGCAGCTGGCCTCTCTCAGGAGTGAGGGAGGACACATCCGAGGAAGGCTGTGGGCCCGTCAACTAGGATTCTGAGTAAGTGATAAACCCCAGAGAGGACTTCAAGGAAGCAGCTTGCTGGGAGCCTTTTGATGGAGTTAAGCACCGTTCAGGTTGCTTAGGTAATAAAAAAGAAAAAAAAACTTACATAAATCATAGAAAACAGGAATGACGTTAATGGCTAGTTGTGGTTTCTGAAAAGGAAGCTGGAGGAAAGAGCAGAGTATCTCTGTCCCCGGAGACAGAAGGCGCCAGCATCCCTGAGGCTTGAAGGGGTGGAGAGTGTGTCCTAGAGGTGCATCTCGGAGCCCACGTAGGCGGTGTGATGGACAGCGAGGGCGTCTGAAAAACAGATCCGCTTCCCCCAAGGTCACATGTGTGAGAAAGCCCTCCTGCAGGCGTGTCTGCTGGAGGGCAGGGGCCAGTTCCCCTGTGTCTTCTCATTCTGCTGTGAATGAGGGACTAACCCGTTTTGTTCACCTAGTATGTGATGGAGGACTGAGGCCTACCTGGGCTCCAGGAGTGGTCTTTCCAGGGTCCTGGGCTGTTTCCCTTTGGTAGTGGTGTTCTCTCTCCACTAGACTGCTTACACACTGCAGCCGTCTTCCGGCTTTGCCCTGGAGAAGCAGTGTCTGGCCTTGTCTCTGGATTGGTCCATTGGGAAAACTGGAAGGTAAGAGCCGGCGTTGGTGAGGGTTCCCGTATTTCCTCTGAGCATTCGTTCCTCTTTTCCTGCAAGAGAGAATTGAAGCCTTGCACCAGCCTTGATTGTGGCTTCCTAGACTTGGGAATGTCACTACTGGTCTTTATCTAAAAAGAAAAAGTTCCAACCTTTTAGGTAAACAAGACAGCGTTTTCATCGAGAGAAGCCGACATGGGTTTGTCTTGACAGATTATATATGTGGTAGTTTCGATCTCTACCAGATGCCCAAACCCCTTAACAGGCACATCCGTGCATCGGGCCCACGGAGAGCCTCCCGGGACACGCCTCGGATGCCACCAGTAGGGAACCAGAGGGAGGTGATGAGTTTGGGTCACTGAATAAATTCAAACTGGGTTTCTCCATTGGTTCTCGTGTCTAGGGCCAGTGACCAGCCCTTGAAAATCATCAGCAGCGACTCCAAGGGTCAGCTCCACCTGCTGGACGTGAATGAGCAGGGGCCTGGGCTACAGGAGGTGGCCACGTGGCAAGCCCATGACTTTGAGGCCTGGATTTCGGCTTTCAACTACTGGCAGACAGAAATCGTTTATTCAGGTTGGTATTTCTCCACAGGGGATCGACCCCAGGAGGGAGGGAGCAAGCAGGTGAGGCCCAGGTCAGGGCTGTAACTCCAGACATATTGGGACCTTGAAAACCCTTTGTGGAGACTGTGTGCTCTGGGGTAAAAGCTGTACTTGGGACTCACCACTTGGCTCCTCCTTGGGAAGCAAAGCGCACCTGGCTGCAGGCATTGCAGGGTGTTGGGGGGCACCCCCAGTGCTGGAGCAGCGGGAGCCCTGCCTCCTGCTGCGCCTGCTGTTTGATCTCTGGCCGCTGCTCCAAGAATCCAGGGTCCCCACGTTTCCCGCTGCCTTTTCTGGGTCCAGTGTTGACCTCGTCATGTTGGATTTCAGGCTGTCTACTCCTCTTTTGGGTCCAGTTTACCTTCGCGAAGAAAAGCCCGAGAGGGTTAGGGTTGCTTTCCGGACCTTGTGAGTGCTGTGCATGGGGCGTGCTGATGTGAGGGTGAGAAATGAACAGGCCTGGAGGCTGCAGGAGCCAGGTAGCTGAGCAGCCTGTCTTCCCCGGCAGGAGGGGACTCCTGGGAGATGGGAGGTGAGGGGCGGGGAGCATTGGCCTCTAGAAGACAGAAGGGGAGTCGCTGGATTTGCAGGGAGGCAAAGAAAAGATCTGACCCTCTTTTCCTTTTGTGTCTAGTTGCTGGTGGTGTGCTCAGCTCCGCGGGAGCAGCAAGGCCACGGACGCTCCGTTAGATGGTCAGGAAGCTCCGTGGCCGGCTCCGCTCTGGCGCAAGTCCTCGGTGGCGGCCACCGTGCCTGCTCCGGGGAGCGCCTCTGAGCAGCACTCACGCACTGACCCCCTCCTGGCGCAGTCTTTTCTCCGCCTTACCCTGGGCTTTCCTCTTCCTGAGTGCTGCTGACCCCTTCCCTCCACTTGGAAGTGCTCGTCCTCTGGCCTGTCTGGGTGTTTTCACTCTCCATTGTCGCCGTTAGGGCTCCAGCTGCCGTCTCTCTCTTCCAGAAACACTGCGTTGTGGTTGCTTAAGCAGACCAGTTTTTCTTTTTTTCCTTTTATTTTCCTTCTTTCTTTCTTTTCTCTTTCTTTCAAGGAAATTTTACTAATTTATTTTAAGTAATTTGTGCACCCAACATGGGGCTTGAACTCATGGCCCTGAGGTCGAGAGTTACGCACTCTTCAGACTGAGCCAGCCAGAGCCAGCCACCCTAGACCTTTTTTTCCCCTGAGCTCTTGATTCCTTTATCTTGCCAGCTACCACATATTCTGCAAGGATGCTTCCTGGGGGTGGGGTGACTTCGGCTCGGGTCATGATCTCACGGTTACTGAGATCGAACCCCGCATCAGGCTTTGTGCTGACAGCGTGGAACCTGCTTGGAATTCCCTCTCCCTGCCCCTCCCCTGCCTCTGCACATTCTCACTCTCTCACACACTCTCTATCTCAAAGGTAAATAAACAGTAAGAAAAGAAAAAAGGATGCTTCCTGGGCGTTTCACACGTGGATCCCGGCCAAGCCCTTGTCCCCGTGTTGTCCTGTTGCACGTAGCTCCTACCTCATCTCCCGACCCCAGCGCAGGGTCCGGCTGCCCAAATCGGACACTGGCATCCCCTCACCTCTTCCAGGAGCGGGAGACCTTTGATTCTTCTCTTCTAAGCATCTCAGAATTGGCCGTCTCTTTCTCTTTCCACCTGTTGGGGGCACTGTTTCATCTCTTCTCCTAGCAGAGCCCTGAACGATGGCCCTGTATTCATTCTGAGCCTTTCCAATCGTGCCCCCACACTGTAGCTAGAGCTATTGTTTTAAAAACCTGCAAACACTCAGTTGAGTGTTCTACGTCACCTCAGGTCATGATCTCAGGGTTTGTGGTTCAAGCCCCGTGTCGGGCTCTGTGCAGACAGGTCAGAACCTGGAGCCTGCTTTGGATTCTGTGTCTCCCTTTCTGTCTGCCCCTCCCCTGCTCACACTCTGTCTCTCTCTCTCTCATAAAAATTCAAAAATGTTAAAAATACGCAAACGTTATCACACTTTGGTCGTGGCTAAACCCTTGGTAGCTTCCTTCTAGAACACTTGTGCGACCCCCCAGCGAGATTGTGGATTTGCATATCAGGTCCCTGCCTGTCTTTCAGCCTGGTTTTGTGTGATCCCTCTTCCCTCACATATTCCGTGTTCTCTGCAATCTCCGTGCTTGACTAAATTATTCTTTTCTCCCCCAGCCTCGGTGTGAGATCCCGGGTTGGTTCTGCGTTTCTGGCAGGGCCCGTTGTAGAATCCTGTCCCGGAGGCACTGGCGCAGTGTGGCCTCTGGTCGCTGTTCAGGCACCCTGCTCGTCCCCATCGTGACTAATGCTTACCTTCCCCTGACAGCAGGGCCCTTTATGCATTTTTTGCTGCTGCACTGAACAGTCTCAGGGACCACAATAGATATTTAATTTCTTGTGGGCTTTTCATTCTTGCATTAGTCCTACCTTGAGACTCCGCTAATTCAGGGCCAGGCGTCGTGGAGGCTGTGATGTTGTAATTCAGCCCCAAGTCGTTTATTCAGTAAATGTTTGTTGAGCACCTAATATGTAGCATGCGCCACTCTAGGTGCGTGAGATGCGTGAGCTAACAAGACAGGCAAAAGTCCTGCTTTCCCTGAACTTACACTGAGAGGAGACAGGCAGTGGTCATGAAGCAGAACACAGGAGGGGTGAGCAGAGGCCACAGTGGCTCAGGGGTGAGAAGTGCTTTGAGGAGAGGAAAGGTGGGCCACGGTTGGGGGATTGGGGTGCTGTGGGCAGGTGTAGACCATCCTGTTATAGAGCATGGTCACAGGGGGCAGAGGTAGGGAGGGAGTGAGCCTGCTGCGCTGGGACAGCAAGTGACCGTGTGGCCAGAATGGCAGGAGGTGGGTGGCAGAACAGAAGGTGAGATCAAAGGTCATAGGGCCTTGCGGGCCTAAGGAAGGGCTTTGGCTTTGGCTCAGCCTGAAATAGGAGCCATAGCAGGATACTGAGTGGGGGGTGACGTTTTCTGACTTAAATGTTGCAGAATTGAAGGGGATCTTCTTTCCTAACGTGTCCAGCGTAGACTGCAAGGGCGCGAGGGCCGAGCCTGAGGACCTGCCGTGCAGACGGTGGCAGGAAGGCCAGACCGTGTTGGGAGCAGTGCCCGCGAGGGGAACGGGGCAGGACTTTGGACGCCTGTGTGAAGATGGCTCGTCAGGATGTCTTGGTGGATGCACGTGGGGTGTGAGAGCGAGACCCGTGTGTAAAGAAGCCACTACCAGCTTTCTCCGCGAATTTGTGCAGAGTTGAGGCTCACCTGCAGGCGTCCTGCCTGGACGGGAGTTCTGTTGGTCTGCTTAGTGGCCGGTCAAGTCCGTCCTGTACCCCGTCCGTCCGTCCCGGGGGTCTGCAGCGCGCTCAGTCAGCGTGTGTTGCGTGGGTGGGGAGTAGGGTGGAAGGTGGATAGCTGCTGGGTGGGTATATGGAACGACACATGGTTGAGTGGACGGACGGACGGACGGACGGACAGATGAGTGATCAGACCTAGGTGTTTTTCTTGTGCTCCTCTTCATCCTCCCTGCAGGCCCTGCTGCTTAGCCTCTCCCTTCCTTCGCCCTAGATCTTGTTGTTTTCTTCAACTGGTTATGGATTAGGGTGTCAGTTCCCTATTCTTCCCATTTTTTCAGATTCCCTATGACGAGCACAGGGGCTCTTTTCACTGCAGGGCTACCAAGGGCACCCCCCTCTGAGATACATGGGGGTGTGCTGAGGTTCCAGAACCTTAAGAAGTGGTCGTGTCTGCGGCGCCTCGGTGGCTCAGTTGGTTGACTCTCTGACTTCGGCTCAGGTCTGATCTCACTGTTTGTGAGTTCGAGCCCCGCATCGGGCTCTGTGCTGACAGCTTGGAGCCTGGAGCTGCTTCAGTTCCTGGTTCTCCCTCTCTCTCTGACCCTCCCCCACTTGCACTCTGCATCTCTCTCTCAAAAAATAAACGTTAAAAAAAGAAGTGCTCATGTTTGCTGCCTCCTGCACGCAGGTCCCATGCAGAGTTCCCTGATGTGGCTGCTCCGGTTTGCGTCACCGGGCGCGGTGGTCGCTGGAGCCTGAACAGAAGCCACTTTAGCCACGTGTGACCTGAAAACTTTTACCCTAACTTCTCGTCCTTCCCTTTCGTTCCCATAGGCTGAGCCCATCAGCCTTGCCTGTCTTCCCTGCAGGTGCCCCCTTCAAGTGTAAACGCAGCCACAGCACAGGCCTCTCTCCGAGCTGCTGTTTCTGGAACTCTTCCCGCCTGGGGCCGACCTGAAACCCCCCAGGAGAAGCCCTCCCTGGGGGTTTACTTGCGGGCATAGGTTCCCTCCCTGAGAAGCGGCCGCTTCCTGCTGTCATTGCCATCGTCAGCGGGCGTTTCTGTTTCCCCCCAGGTGGGGACGATGGCCTTCTGAAAGGCTGGGACACCAGAGCACCTGGCACATCTGTGTTCACTAGCAGGAGGTAAGTTCATCAAGGGGCCGGCCCTGGGCCTGCGACACCAGCCTGCCCGCCCCTCCTGGCTGCTGCCCTCCGGAGACCTGTCCCTGCGCGTGCGCCCGCTCAGGCCTTGCACTTCTGCCTGTAGGCACTCCATGGGCGTGTGCAGCATTCACAGCAGTCCCCATCAGGAGGGCGTCCTGGCCACAGGAAGGTGAGCGAGTCCCTTTGGGTTTGTGCACAGGGGACCATCCTGCACCTTTTACCTCATTGTCTCACGTTGACCGTTGCAGTGCTTAATGGGACCAACCCTTTTCTTGATGTTTGTTTCTGAGAGAGAGAGAGTGAGCACGCATGTGTGTGCGTGGGCGGGGGGGTGAGGCGCGGGGGGGGCAGAGAGAGAGGGAGACAGGATCCCAAGCAGGCTCTGTGGTCTTAGCACAGAGCCTGATGTGGGACTTGATCCCCTGAACCGTGAGATCATGACCTGAGCCGAAATCAGGAGTTGGACATTTAACCTACGGAGCCACCCATGCTCCGCCAATTGGACCAGCTCTTAAACCGGAGTGTAGGTGGGGCGCCCGGGTGGCTTAGTCGGTGAAGCGTCCGACTTTCGCTCAGGTCACGATCTCGCGGTTCGTGGGTTCGAGCCCCGCGTCGGGCTCCGTGCTGACTGCCGGCTCAGAGCCTGGAGCCTGTTTCAGTCTGTGTCTCCCTCTCTCTCTGACCCTCCCCTGCTCACGCTGTCTCTCTCTCTCTCCTAGAAATAAATAAAAACATTAAAAAAAAAAAAACTGGAGTGTAGGTATCTGGGCTGGGAAAAGGGACTGTGTCCTAGAGCAGTGAGTAGGATGGGCCTCCCCGCGAGATGTTCCCCTGCCACCGGGGGACCTGGGGGGTAAGTGGGCATTGGCTTTCCCACATGATCCCTGTGCAGCTACGACGAGCACATTCTACTGTGGGACACTCGGAACATGAAGCAGCCTTTGGCAGACATGTCCGCGGAGGGCGGAGTGTGGAGGCTCAAGTGGCATCCTTTCCGCCACCACCTCCTCCTGGCAGCGTGTATGCACAGTGGC